AACTCGTCAATTATCAACACAAATCAGCAATGAAAGACGAAGTTTTCAATGCTGTTAAATCCATTTATGAAGAACTCAGCCAGGATAAACTATTAACACGGTGCTTGGGTGGGTTTACGCAGAACAGCAACGAGTGTTTCAATTCTGTTCTGTGGGCGCTCGCTCCTAAAACCATGTCCAGTGGCAAAAAAATCATCGACATTGCTGCTGATATTGCAGTATGTAATTTTAATGATGGATTACAGAGCATTATGGACATTATGCAAACTTTGAACCTACCTATAAGTCAAAGTTGCTACGATTTTTGTATAAAAGCCGATAATTATCGTATTCAGAGAGCGGAGGTTTCGATTACTGAAGCTGCTCGAGAGGCTAGAAGAAGTGGTGTTTCTGCTCACAAGCTTGCTAATGAAGAAGAAATAGATGCTGAAGGTATCCTGTATGGCGCAGGTATTGCAGATTGACGGTTAGTTGAAAATATTTATTAGTTTCATGTATGTAAAACTTTAAACGCGTTTTTCTCGAAACGATATTTTTTAAATCTGCGTGTCAAATTAGTCTTCCATTTTTCATCGGATTGACTTGAAACTTTGCATAATTCTTCCCTATGGTATAATCTAAGGATGTACGTAGGATTTTCTCTGTAGCGTTGTTATTTTATTTTTGGTGCACAGTTTTATGAACTTTTTTTACCCTGAAAAATTGAATTTTTTTTAATGACCGCCATTTCTTAAAAATCGAAATTTCGTAAAATCCCTACGTACAGACTTAAAACATATTGTTATTAATAAGAAAAAATTTAGATTTTTGTTCTAGGAGCCACGTAGAAGAAGGAATTTGACACGCAGACTGACGGTGTTCCTCAAAAGCCGTATACTTTGGCCCAACCTACAAGAGGCTATTTTTTACTTTTTCGACATTAAAAAATTTTTTATTGCAGCTTAAGATTGTCTTAATGAATGGCTAAAACCGATTTTCTTTCTGCGCATTTTTTGTATGAAAAAAAAAATCATGAAAAACACCTCCAAAATTGCAATCAAAGGTGGTATCCTGCCTTAAGATGTCACAAAAAAGACGTTTTAAAGACGTCGTTGTTTAGTCACTTGACGTCATTCGATCAGTTATGACCAGTTTTTTACGTCATTTTGATGTGAGTCTGTTACTTGGGCTGCTTCTTGTGTCGTTCACCTTACCTACTGCGTCACTGTTACTTTGATTGAGAGACGCTTTATATTGTGTAATTATGGTATATCCATATACGAAAGCATACGATTTATTTAAAAGAAGAGAATAGATTCTTTTAAAATATATATTTTAAAAAGTATGTAGAAA